AGATGATCCGGCATGTCGGGAAGAAGCGGCCTAAGGATGCCCGAGACAACCCCGATTAGAGACCCTTCCCCCTCCTGTTCTGGCAGGCCTCGGAGGCGAATGTTATTCAGCTGGGTCATCAGGAGGTTGATCTGCACGGCAGCAGCGTTGTGGGCCACGACCGTGGACTCCACCCGCTGTTCTAGTGCTGCTGTCCTCGCCCCCACGGCTTGAATCCCACCTTCACCTCATCTGTGCTTCTTATAATTTTGGTGGCCAAATAGGAACGGACCTCCGCCAATTTTGCAAGTATTTGGTCAGTATCTGTCCCAGGGGCACCCAATGGCTACACTGATGGTGAGCGCGGTGTTCCCTGGCCTTCCCGTCCGCCATCTTGGGTGCTTAGTCGCACAGCGCGGGAGGCTGCGAACAGCTCCGACACGGTAGTGCCCGCTTCCATCACCTTTTTCCCCTGTTTCCTCTGGGCCCTCTTATCCATAATGGGTCCCCCACAGTTGCAGGTAGTTTTTTCCCGATGTATCTCAGCTTATGTTAGCAGTTGGCACAGTGGCTGCAGCAGAGCTTTACATGGACACGTCCATCTTGCTCGGCCGCAAGCCACGCCCCCGAGGACCACCTTTATAACTGTTATGAAAATGAAAGCCCTGTTTCTCTTGAACAAAATTGTATATAATAAGTATGGGTACACTAAATATGAAAGAGGTAAATTATGGTTAAACAGACCCAGTTAATAGACGTATAGATCAGGGTGTTGCAGTGGATGTGATCTATTTGGATTTTGCCAAGGCGTTTGATACGGTTCCACACAAAAGATTAGTGTTCAAATTCAAAGAAATCGGTCTAGATAAAAATTCTTGTTCTTGGGTAGAACATTGGCTTAAAGGGACACTATAGCTTAATATAGTTGTTCTGGTGAGTATAATCATTATATGCAAACATTTTTATGCAAACACTGCCTTTTCAGAGAAAAGGCAATTTTTACATCACCCCTAGGGACACCTCCAGTGGCCACTCCTCAGATGACCACTGGAGGTGCTTCCTGGCTCAGTGCTGTTCAGCGTCTCCACGCTCTGCAAATGGCGTTTGGCCCGTTCCCCTGCCAATTTTAGTCAATCCAATGCTTTCCCCGCAACAATTCAGAACTTCAAAAGCATCTGAATTGCATGAAACGAATTGCAATTCGTCTAGTCTAGTAAATGGTTGTGGTGGCAATCCTTGCACTGAGAGCCCTATAGATGTGTAAGTGGTTGTGGTTGCAGTCCTGGCACTGGGAGACGGGAGCCCTATAGATATGTAAGTGGTTGTGGTGGCAGAACGGGCACTGGGAGCCCTATAGATGTTCAAGTTGTTGTGGTGGCAATCCGGGCACTAGGAGCCTTATAGATGTGTAAGAGGTTGTGGTGACAGTCCTGACACTGGGAGCCCCCTGCCCATTACTCTGAGCAAGGGGCTCCCAGTGCTAGGACTGCCACCACAACCACATCTATAGGGCTCCCAGTGCCCAGACTGTCACCTCACCTATTCACTTTAAATAATAACATTTTTTGTAAAGGTACAAATCAAAGGTACAAGTGTCCTATGGACAGATGCCAGCCTTTCGAAGACCACTCTACTTTTGCGAAATAAGTGTTGATGTCCATTGATATTTGAGTTGACTTTTGTTTAACTCAGCCAGGTTGTTCTACCAAACTAGTTTAAAGGTAATGACTTATATACAGTTTGCCCATAAAACAGTTAGCCCACTAGAGGCTAAGTAGGTTACAGTATCCAGAATAAGATTGCAGACTCTTTGCTGGGAGGACAACACGTTGGCCACTGCCATCTTTTCATTGTTAGCAATGCTTCGAAGATGGTACACAACCAGTGATTATGGCGGAGTACTATAAAACATGAAATATATAGTAATTTGCATTATAGCCAATAATAAATATTACTTTGTTTTTACTATATATAGTGGTCATTTTCTCTGCGTGACCATTAGTTCCTTTCACAATATGTTCCAATTATTTAATACATGAATGAATCCATTATAGAATGAATAAATTGAGGGTTCTTTGAAAATTAACAAATATATACTCATCAACATGCTCCCTTAATGAATAACATTTGTACCTGAACCATAGTACAGCTGATATGTAAATCATAATGCTCTTTCTAGATCCTGTGACAGGAAATGCTATATGAAATTAAAAATCTCACTTGATGAGGCCTAGGAGTTCATTAATGTTAATGTGACTAATGCTGCCTGCTGCATGTTCTGTGAATTGCTAAACAGCCACTATGAAATAAAAGATGTAGAAATTGAGACTCGTATAATGGGAGTGCTAAGCAGAGGTGATGCATACTATTGCATCTAGGACAGACTAGAAAACCATAGCTGTATCCCTAGTTTGCTGCCGTTGCCACATTTTGTATAACAACAAAGAGGAAAAGAGGTAGTGGATTAAACTTTATATATTCCTTCCTATACCCACTCATGGCAAAGGCTGACTATCCCAGGGTTTCCTTTTTAAATTTAATTTTTATTGAAAGCCACAAGTCTTTGCTAAAGAGAGACTGGATAAGGTTTATCTTTTTTTCCCAGTGTTAAAAAGGCACCACTGCTGGAAAATTATCACATTTTTATTTTTAATGTATATGAGTCATTTTACTTAAAAATATGCAGTTGATGATTACTTTTTGTTTGTGCAGACATAAGCTTTCTTAAATTCCATCCGAGTGAGGGAGTGGAATAAAGACAAAGATGGACATACAGACAAAACATTAGACACCAGACAAACATGTAGTGATATACTTACTATGTTTCTCGCTGGATATCCTCCTCTTCTAACACGTTTAGCTTCCAGCAATTATGTCACTGTTGACAATAATGTAAGAAGCTAAACTGTGTTTGTCCAATTGTGTTGTCCATTTAATTTTGTTTGTAGGCCCACCTATGCACTGCGAAATTCAAAGATAATGGCCTCACCTTTTGGTGAAGCTAAATATTGTGTATAGTGATGCATAGGGGAAGCATAGATTGGTGCTAAAACCAAGCTTAGTGGCAGTACCTTGTTTGTTGTATACAGCAAGGTATGTGGCAGTGGTAAGGAATACCACTAAAGTGGCACTATACTGCCCTTTCCATTTACTGCCTGGGTCCATTGAACCCAACAGGACAAGCCTGGTGAAAACAATACCCATTGCACGCCAACCTACTAAAGAAGTAGATCAATAATATTGCATCATAAGACACTACATGAAAAGGTACTTAAAATTAACTTAAAATGAAGTCAAGTGCCTTTTGACAGGAGGACAGTACTGTCTTAACCCTTCACATAATAACATAAACCACCTCCATCAGCATTATCTGTATCCTGTCTTTAGTTGTGATGTGTCAAGGTAAGTATAACAACCCTGCACAGTGCTTAGACCTAGCGTATCCAAGAGAAAAGCAAAGGATACCAATAATGAGAAGCAAGACGAAGGAGTACAATAAATAGAGCAGTCAGACAAGCCAAATCAGGAAACCAGGAAATCTCAAAATAAGGAATGTGCTATTGGGATCATAAAGAAACCCCAACAGGACAATGGACACATGCAAAACTGTTGTATTTAATGGGCCTGGAGCGTTATTGATAGCCACATCCCCAACATGTGAGTGGATATGTCTAATGAGACCATTTTCCATCATGAGATTGGTGTGACATAAAATGGGCAGAGCTACAGCATCTGGCATCAGAAACATTGAGAGGTGTCTGAGGTTGGAAACCTAACATGGTGCCTACTTGGTGAGATAAGGGCACCGTGTGAGTGTCATAGAGCAAGGACATGTATCTTTACATGATGGGATGTAAAGATGTCAGCTTTTGTTTCTGACAGCTGAGGTATACTATACTCTTCCCTTTCTTATATTTGATTTTCCTGTGTAATGAACTCCCTGGAACATACTTACTAGTTAAGACCGATACCTTTGTAAAGAAGTTCTATCAGGGACACCTCAACCCAATTTAATCAATATGGTTTATCATTGACCATGAATTATAGGTAGGGTGACAATAGCTGCTAAGTATAGATAAGAGTCAGAGTGAATATGTTTGCTATGGTTATGCAGGGTAATAGATCGCCTCATTATTCAGTTTGGCTATCACATCTTTGTATGCTCATCGTCGGACATTGAGTATATTAGAGTTATTTATTAACCATTCACTATTGATACATCTTTGTTTCTTACCTTTGATGTGCCTTTGTTTTACCGTGGGATGGGGGATGACACTTGTAACTAAACTAATCTCTTCTTAAAAGGAACACTCCGGGCACCACAATATCAGAATGATGATAAAACCGTGTAAATTTTCCTGACTGCTCTAAGCCAATTAGTGGCACCAGTGCTTGCGGAAGTCCTAGGCTTCCATTTTCAAGCTTTTAACTAAGCGGCTGTTGGACAGTTTAACCCCTAAATGTAAGGCAGTGCCACGGTCCTTCTGGAACCATAAAAACCTAATTTCAATGAAGATGTTATGGTGCCCTTCATGTTCCTTTAATTCTAATAGTTCATTGATCACCATAAGTTTTCCAAAATAGCAGACCATATCATTTGAAACCCACTGGCTTTATTGTTTTTCAAGAGACGGTCTTTGATGAGGATTTTCCCATCTTTTTTTTTAAATCTCATTTTTTTTTTTTACCCAGTGAGCACTGATCTAATAAAGCCTGGGTAGGGATCACTGTAGGCATTTTCTTTTCATTAATATAAGTGGTAACACTTTAGCTAGTGAGAGTTTAATTTAGACAGGATACTTGTTCCTTTCACTTTGTTATGGTGTTTTAGTTACATTGTATATACATTCCTTTCTTAGCAATTTTTTGTTAAACCTATAAATTCATGGGGAAAACCGAATATTATGAGGCTTGGCTTGGGCAAGCTTACAAAATTATGGGAATACTGTCTGTTCAAACTGAGGTGTGAAATCAGTCAGTAGACATGGCCTCAGTCTGCTTTGTTTTCCCATTGGACTTAAGTTGCATTAGTGGTTAATGTGGCTCAATATCATTAATGAGGAGGTTATTTGCAATAAGTGTCCTGCACGTGCAACTAATGAGTCAAGGACATTATTCTGGGAGCAGCCCCCTAACATTTACACTACCAGGTGAATTAACATTTTGTAACGATTGTTATTTGATAAGAATGTGGCTCTTCCAACATTCCAAGGCAAGTATGTGTCACACCCTATAATTAGTAACTGCATCACTCATATCGTCTTCATTTACACTGTGTTCGATAAAAGGCATAATTAGAGGGAGGCTAAATGCCAAAAAATTGCTTCCTTTTATATAAAATGCTCATTGTTTCCTAATTATGGTAGCCACATTGCCATTTGATCATAACCAGTTAAAGCATGAATGCTTACATGGTGACATTTCTATTCTAAAGTTGTTTTTAAACAAACTTGTTAAATTTAGACTAGAATTGACAATTAAATAATAAATATAAATTGAAACATTTTCCCAAGCTGTTAGGGCCTACATTTTTTTAAGTTTGATTTTCAATTCCCCACTGTTTATAGTTTAGAGTGAAATTATACATAATGATTTGTTTTTAGGTGCTACTTAAAAATATTGTAATAAGAGGATAAATTAGTATGTTTTTTGGGGTATATTAGCATAGTTATTTGTGGGGGGGACTTCATAACCACATATCCCCTTATGAAGATAAGACTTTGGTGAAACACGTTTCAGAAGTTTGGCACCGGCAGTGGCTTCAAACAGTCAAAGTGACAAGATATTTTGATTCCTGTGTGATGACCAAAACACTGCTGAAGCACTTGTTTTTAATTGTAACTGTAGCTAAATTGGAGTTGTTCGTCATATAAGTGCATTAGAATGTGTAAGTGTATACAGTGTATTATTGAATATAAGTTTATTTTTTACAGTATTACTCCATGTTCACTTTCTGTTCTCTTTACAGAGTTTCATTTAGCTGTTAATAGTTCAATGGATTTATAAAAGCTCTCAACTAAAATCCCACACAAAAACAATTAGCAAAAAAATACTATCATTAGCATTATTATAACTATAAATTCTGTATTGCCAACAAATCTTGCAATACAGAATGTAACAATACAATTATAACAAATTTAGAATACATAAGAAAGGTTTTTAAAAGGTACTCTAGGGGGGAGAGGAAGACTGCTGCCCGAGCAGGTCGCATGCTGGAGGAGTTCCTCTGATTCTATGAGAATTCACACCTGATTAGCACGTTATCCAGCTATTTAACGCAGCTTATGACCATTAATCATCAGAAGGGTACCTTACAACTTTTTTGGACTGACCACTTTTATCGTGGATGTGTGTTCACTATCTGCGGCCTACTGGTCAACCTGAGGCAGCCAATTCCCCTCTTTTTTCATTTCCTGGGCTCCTCCTCCCCCTGGACCGGAGGGGGTTATCCCAGTCTACACTGCCTAATACAGCACCTCATGGATTGAGCTATGATTTATTTGCATCCACTACCTCTAATCTGACCCATACTTACCCAAGAGGTCCAAAATGGCTGTCGTTCCTGCTTCTGCTATAAAAGATTTTCTCGAGAAGTTCAATCAGGTCTGCTCATCATTTTGGCAGAGATTGGCAACCAGATCGAGCCTATTGGCTTCAAAGTCTACTTTAATGCAGCACGCATCATCTATGCAAACTAGCTTACCTAGCCGGATACGGAGGAGTGCCCCATGGCTCCCATCAATTGCTGGCGAATAGAGGCGTTAGCTGAGAGAGGCTGATTTTCTTCAGAAAGCAGGCACTTAAGGAATATCTCCCCCTACACAGTTCCCACTCTCAGAGGGCCCATAAAATCCAGGAGAAACGAACTGATATTTCAGGGGGCAAATTACAGCCTACATGTGGCTTCAGACCTGAACAGTTCATGATGCCAGGTGCACTCCGACTATTAGACAAGTGCCAATGCCTGCGAACAAGTCTGGAGCACTTGGAAGCATTGTGCCGGTTGATGGGGGGACAGGAGGTTCTTACCAGCTCTTTCAAGCTCTGCTATAAAATGACATAACAGCAAGAAGTAGGATAGTTCCTTGGAACACTCTCATTGATCAAAAACTATGGTGTTGATGACCTTTGTTTATATTTTTGTTAACATATTGCTCTTTTATAATTTTTCTATTACACCTGTGAGAATACTAGCTTATATGATAAGTCAGTGTTTTCTCGCAGCTTTGGGAAGCTTAGTCTAGTTCTAGGAGTCTGTTTTATAAGTTGTTATGGCTATTTGCTGATGTCTGAATTTCAAGTTTATACTCTTTGCAAAATTAAAAGGGAAGCTATTAAGCAGTGTGCATTATGCGTTATATAGTTAATTTTTGCCTGTGAACTGTTGAGCTAATGTATACCATCTCTCATTGTGATGTCATTTAACTTTATGCCTCAATAAGAAATGTTTAAAAAACTACTCTGGAACCACAGCCACTACAAAGAGCTATAGTGGTTATGGTTCAAAGAGCATGGGGATTTTTTTCTTCTGCTATGTGCTAAGCTGTTTTTGAGTGATTGGTTGAGAAAAAAACAGGATGTCCAATCTTGGGTGACAATGATAGGCTAAGGGTGCTGGCATAATCTGCCCCCTATTTTCTTAGCCTGAGCCTACCACTGCCAAAGAAGGAGCGTGTTGTAAGTTGGGAGGCTTGCATTTCCTATAACCATTTTGCAACACAAACAGGTCTGCCACAAACAAAAATATACAACTACCTCAAACTCTTTACAATGAGCTGTAGTGGTTATGGTGCCTCTTTAAAACAACAGAGAAACACAAACGGATACCTAGGGCTCATTAAACATGGTTTATCAGTTTACAAACCAGATGTCTACATGGGTTAAATTATTTTAACAATATTTTCCAAGCCCCACAATGATTGTAAAAACAGTAAGCATAAACATTTGATACAATTATGCAATGCACTTTAACACTTCTCTGTGGGACTTTAGGTCTAGCACACAAAAGGTTAAACACAGAACAAGTTATTTGAACTCAGAAAACTCTTAAAGGTATGCTGCTTAACATAACAATCTTATTCGTTATGACTCCCAATTCACCACATCAGTGATACACCCACTTGCACAATGACACTAGTCACATTATAATTCTTGTCTGACAGGTTCTTTCAAAGCAAAGGAGAGGGGCTAAATCTCAAGGAATTAGAATAAGACTAATAGCAATGGCATTTTCTAAAGGTTTAGTAACATTTAAAATACAGGTTAAAAGAACAATCCAGGGGGCGTGGCCTGACCAGGGAACGAGCTGGACGCGGCTGAGTAGAGCTCCGGCCCCGACGCGTTAAAATTCGCTTACATTAGCCCTGAAAATTACATAAAACACCTAGCATGGATAAGAGGAACCCCAAAAAACAACCCAAGGGGGGAACATCGGTTCTGGACATTATGACAGCCCATAAGACCAGGTCTGCGGATCCCCAAGATGGCGCCGGACGGAGCTCCACATCCCAACCACCCTCGCCACATGCGGCGCAGTGAGGAGAGCCTAAAATGGGCAAGACGACACAAATCTTGGCTAGTAGAAGTGCAGGCATACCTGGCGGGAGAAATTGATAATTCAACAGCGGTTCTCCGGAACGAAATCGCCGCCTTGGGAACACGCACTGCCCGCCTTGAAGAGCTGCTGGAGGCCACGACCAGGGCCCATAACGTGGCAATAACCCACATAAACGGGCTGGCGGCCCGTATGACGGAGGCCGAACTCGCCATTGAAGATATGGCCAACAGGTCGCGGAGAAACAACCTCCGTCTGCGCGGCCTGCCGGAGGGGGAGAGAGAGGGCACGCTTCCTTCCATGCTTATGGCCATCTTCAAGCCTCTGCTGCCGGACCTCTCCGAGGAAAGAAGGCACATGGAAAGGGCTTGCCAGAAGAAATTATGCCAATTCCCCCCAGGGACGTCATCATCCGCTTCTTATATTATCAGACCAAAGAAGCCCTGATGCGCAAGAGCAGGGAGGTCAAGATACTACATGAAGGAGCAGAGCTCCAAGTATACCAAGACCTGGCTCCTAGCATGCTTCAGAGACGACGGGAGTGGAGGCCTATCACAGAGGCACTACGAGGTGCGAGCATACAGTACGCCTGGGGGTTTCCGTTTCGGCTGCTGGCGTTCCAAGGAGGAAAAACTCACATTCTAACGCCCAATGGGGATTCTTAGATGCCCTGGTAGTATCTGCCCGAGGTAGCTTGCCAGAGACAAGGCCATCTACACATGAGTTAGAGACTCTCCCGACCGAATGGCAGGAGGTGGGAGCACCACGGCTCTGACTTCGGAGCCGGGTAAAGTAACTTATCAGGGGACACATTAGGTGAAGCCTGAGCGGGGACCGGGACTGTTTTGGGAGGGTATTATTCCCATCACGCCCAGGCTTCCTTTATATATTGCCAGCGCTGAGGTTGGAGGGTTTCAGGTTTTCTTTGGGAGAGGGTCACGGGTGGTCCAATATTAGCGCACGGAACGAAGGTGATGGGGCTTGGGCCTAATTTCCCATATGTTTGGCTTGTTAATGGTTGTGGGACTCATATTGGCACTTCATGGTTGGCCGGATGTTGTGAAGGACATTGGCCAAACGATTTTGGCTACCAAGGGCCCTTACCATCCAGTTCAGGAGGGAGTACGGTGTGGGACTACCTTCAACCTCATTGATATGCATAGAGGCTTACCGCTTGTCCGGATGCTAAGCAGATTTGTTTTATGCTCGTAGGTTTTAGGACGGGTGAAAACTAGCACACCATCAAAAAAAAAAGGAAAAGGAAAAAAAAAACATAAAAAGGATCCCCCCAAAAAATAAATAATACTAATAAGCATAATAGGGTACACATGAAACGAAAATGTACAAAAAAGAATAATGCCGAGTAGGGGTAACATAACTGAGCGGCAGGGGCGAGAAATTGTGTAATGAGGACCACAGACCTGGAGAAAGAAGCAGGAGTACACAGGGAGTCACGGCAATCTAACCATCGGGATGGGAGAACAGGGGGTCACATAACTGCACTCGGAAATGGAGGTAGACCAAGGGGGTAGAGGAGCCGCAGATTATGTCGGGTACTCCCATTGGCATAGCAGGGCAGCTGGGGTTCGCCTAGCACTAGCGCAGAATCCCCCATACTCGACATATCGGTCTCTTCGACGGGATACCCCTGAGTGGGTAGATGACACAGGGCCGCAGCCTGTTAGGGATT